CTCATCTTTACCCATATATTACTTCTTTACACTATTTTTAAATGATTTTGAAGTTGTTTCTCTTTCCCTTCAACCCTACCGACATGGGTCTTCCTATGATCACGGGTCAAAGGCCATGTCATCGCGTTTGTAGACTCACATTCAAAATTTTATTGAACTACTATTTTATGAATATATGTTAATAAGTTTGGTTTCAAATTATAGATTATAAATCAAATATTAGTATCATACATGAACTAATTTTTTAATTTAAAAGTGTATATTAAAAAAAATCCTAAATATTGATTTTTGAGTGTTAAGTGGTATAGTGAATGCTGCACTGGTTCAAAATAGATGTTTGTTATGTCCAAACACAAAGTCTATAGTTTCTTATGATAAAGATACTCAAATTACCAATATTGACAATCTAGAATATAAGATAAGAACCTCCTATATTTTCTGTTTTCTAAGATATTAATAGGTGACCCCACCCACCACTTCCATTTTTGAAAATACTTCCTTACGTACACCTACTTCACCCAATGACATGTGTATAACCAATCGAAAGCTCAGAATGTCCCCCAAAATGAATTTCTCAGCCTCTTTCTTTTCATGCTAGAGTGAGCTTGAAAAATAATATTTTTTTTTACTCAAGTACAGCTTAGTTACTAAGCTTGATAAATTATAGTGGAATTCTGTGGTATTGCTGTAGTAATTTATGATTTTTTTCTTGTTTCAAAATGCATATCTAAAACCTAAAAAAAATATTCTGTTTCACATTCTTCACGGGAAACAGCAAACAAGTAAAGTTCATAACTAGGAGATAATTGTTTTCTATAATTCTTTATTTACTGTTCTATGTTTTAAGAAAAATAACTGAAATTTAAGAACTTGTTTGTAAATAGTAATAACGTATATAATGTGTTATAACCGAAATACGACTATTTTACAAAATACTGGTCCACTAGAACACAGCCAAGACAGGTCACCTTGTAAAGGCCAGTTCTTGGATACGATAACAAGTGCACCTAAGCCATGTCTTTACAACTTTTGTAATATTAGTTAGACAAGTATGAAAGACCAATAAAATAAAAATAATAAATATATATATAGATGTATAATGTTATGAGATTTAAGCTATTTAGACTAAACATTTGTGTTTTTGTTTTATAATTTGTAGTCATTCTAGAACGAAAAAAGCATAATATATATTTATTTCCTAATTTTTAAGGTGGTTACGAGGTCAATCAAATCCACCAAACATCTACAATGATACAATAGTGATAATAACAGACAAAATATAAAGTTGTTTCTAAAAAAAACATTTGATAATTATATGGAGGTTACAAAGATTTTGGATGTGAAATTTGAAAATATTTTGATGCATAAAAGTATTTTTAATCTTAAACTCAAAATTACTTTGCATGTTGGACATTCAAAAATACATTCAAAAACAATATTTAAAAAATCTGATATTTTGTGCGTGAAAGCCTTTTAACATTTTCTGATAATCTGCAAATTTTCATGAAGATATGCTTATTAAAAGTTATAGCATAAAAACTATAACGAGCAGAAAATGGTTATGAGGTAAATCCCGGAGACAGAGCCCATAGTAAGAGAGTTAATAATTTTTCTGTCCCTCACCCACCCACCCCTTTCATGATATCTGCAAATGGCCAACCTAAAGGTTTTCTTACTGTAAGGGTGAGTTATCATAACAACTTTTCTAACTTTCACACACCAAGCTTCTTGCTCCTTTCCAATTCACTCCGAACATGGAAGGACTAGCCTCCAAAGAACTCAGGTTATTAAGTTATTTGTCTTGTAATTTATAAAGTTTCTATTTCTGAACTTAGAAGTGAATGTAAAGTTTAAAAGTACACTAAATCATTTAAAAGCAGGATCTGTAACTTACTGGAATAATGAAGTTCTTATATTTTTCATAAATCTGTTCTCGTTTGGTTTCATCATCTTCATACATTTCTCGGCGGACTAATGTTAACAACATCTTTCGTCGCAGGTCCAGTGCAAGCTGAGACTTCAAGTCTTGTACAGGTGTCTATTTAAAGAAAACTGTCATGTAACATAAAGTTTAGCTTTATTTAACACAACAGTACAAACTACACTACACTTGATTTAAATCATTTTAATTCAAGATCTGATTGTATGTGCCAGATTTAGTTTAAGACTGTTTTACTTGTCTAAAGAAACAGCTCCTACGCCATTTCTGTATCCTTGCATAGATAAACCTCATATGCAAACTTCACACTTGTTAGAGAGAGAGAGGTTATATACAGCTTGTATATCTGAGTAGAGATCATAATGGAACCAACCACCTGATGCAAAATGGCAGTCACATCAATGACCATCAGAGTGCCTCCACTCACCATTACAGTTGTAAATGACTCTGCTGATGAGTGTCAAACCTCAGGAAATGTCAGAAGTGTGGAAACATGAATTTGTAATTCATATAATTCATGAAACCTTCTGTTTTTTTTTGTTGTTATTTTTTTATAAATAAAAGTTGAGATAATATGATGATGGCATATAGGGCTAGGTCATTGGTGTAACAACTGCATTAAAGAGGACAGAATGAAACCCATACATTGGGCTAAAACAATGGCAAATAGTACTGTCAAAATTTTTTATCACAGACAACAGAATAAGTGTCTCCAAATTACAAACTTGATTAAAAGAAAAAATCAAATTGAAGATAATACAATATCTCTTTCACACACAGAGGAGAAATTATCCATGATACTCTTTATGCATTTTTAAAACACACAGGAGAAGAATATCACATTTTTCATATAGCAGAGATTACCCATGGTACCCAAGTATTTATTTGTAAAACACACACAGGAGAAGAATATCCCATCTTTCACACACACAGATTACCCATGGTACCCATGTATTTATTTGTAAAACATACACAGGAGAAGAATATCACATCTTTCACACACACAGATTACCCATGGTACCCAAGTATTTATTTGTAAAACAAACAGGAGAAGAATATCACATTTTTCACCCATGATACCCAAGTATTTATTTGTAAAACACACACAGGAGAAGAATATCCCATCTTTCACACACACACGCAAATTACCCATGGTACCCAAGTATTTATTTGTAAAACACACACACAGGAGAAGAATATCCCATCTTACACACACACACACACAGATTACCCATGGTACCCAAGTATTTATTTGTAAAACACACACAGGAGAAGAATATCCCATCTTTCACACACACACAGATTACCCATGGTACCCAAGTATTTATTTGTAAAACAACACAGGAGAAGAATATCCCATCTTTCAGAGATTATCCAACATACCTCCAGTATGTATTTGTCAAATCCGTAGTGCTCATCAATTAACTGCAATGTTCTTTCTGTGACTGTGACTGTCATGTACTTGTCTAGGATCTCACTATACACCACAGCTTGCTTTAATACAGGTATCCAGTAATGTGGAACCCTAAAATTTAAGAACAAAGTACAATTACTTGCTTGCAAATAAATAAAGCTGACTTCTATTAAAACTTTCAAGGCCATTGGATATTTACATACTATTTATTATAAATCACAGATGCCAACCATTCGTATTTTACAGATTCGTTTCTAACCTCAAATTATGATAATAACTTTTGAATTCAAAGTTTTTTTGAGTTTGGTATACAATCTGGAATATTTATTGTACACAATAATATAATTACATTAATGAAATCATTATCACTTGAGCATTTATAGTTCTGTAGGTGTAGTCAAACTCTTTTGTAACACTGAATAAAATATTAGCCAATCAGAAATCATATAGATGATTAGCCCATTCAGAAGTTGAAATAGCCATACTAGTTTTAATGGAAAGATGTTGAAATGAAGGTCATCTAGTCAAAAATGTGTATCTGAAAAAGCATTGGAAGTGGGGGAATTTACAGTATAAGAAGTTGCACTCTAATAAAAAAAACTGGTATATTAAGGTACAACCCTAACATAAAATACCACAAAAATCAGGAACACAGATTAAAAAAAACTACTGAAGAATAAATTTCAGGTAAGTTCAACAACTAAACATTACCCATAAAATAAAATAATGGTAAAAAAACCAAAAACATAACAGTTACAAATGGTTTCAAATACTGAAATCTTGCCAAGCATGGGTTTTACAGAAATTTTAACCTCAATATTTTTCTGACTGCTGTTTATTAAATCATTGAAACAAGTGAAAAACATTCATTTTGTATGCTTTCCTCTCCAGATTTCAGCATTACTCATAGCAAGAAAGCAACTGCAGATATTAAATCCTCCCTATTTTCTCCTCAGATTCTGGGTTGTTGTTTTTATACTTTAGGCTAGCATTCCTATTTTACATTAGTTAGGGTTAATTAAAAACTTATAATTAAACACATGTATTAGGCCTAAGGGTCTGAATAAAGAATTCAGTTAAAATATAATCAGTTAGGGTTGATATCCTGTTATAAATTCTCAGCTTTATCAGAAGTAACTTTTTATTTTAAAGCCTACATATATGTGAATGTTGGGATAAAACAGATTTTTTCCATTAAACTTAACACATACTTAACTTACATCTAACTAAGTGAAAATTTGATGATACATTTTTCTTTTTTAAATACACGCAAGTAATATTTACATAATAACATACAGGTCTTTCTACAGCTAAGACTCGAAGACTTAGCTGGTATACCACCACTCTATCAACAAACAATAATATATGCTGAAATGGTTATACTATTTAAAAAAAAAACATAGTGACAAAATACCACTGAGTTTATCACAGTCAAACTAGACCTTCTATATTTTTATATGGTTATGTATATCATTCTGAAAGTTCAACAAAACAAATGACATTAGGTTTAAAAACATAATGTTTTACCAAATCTTCAGCCAATAAAAGAATGAAACAAAAGTATTACAAAATAACTGAGTCACATGATTGAAAAGCCAGCTACGTTAACAGCACTGAGAAATAGTTGTATTTTTTTCTCATCATCCTTGTATTAAGTTTACAACAAAAATAAAACTGAAGGGAAATTGATTTATCAAAATGTTCAAGATCAAAGTGAATCAGTGGCGTAGCAAGAAGGGGGGCAGGGCTTCTAATGTCTGGCTTATAATGTCTATAATTGATAATTATGCCCTCCCCTAGGATATAGTGCAACTGCCATACATTAAGTAAATACAACACAGTGTTACATTATTTGAGTATATTACACTTGCAGTTTTTTAAAAGCCGCCCTCTGAAATACAGTGAGACCGAATTGATGTACAGAAGTAAATTACACTATTCCATCATTCATCTGTAGATCAAATACAAGTCCTAGAGTACAACGTATAAGTAAGTGTATGTTCAACAAAAAGAAAATACGAGATTGATGTAACATATTAACTGGTGTGCAAGATTGGCAATATATGCAACAGGCAAGATCTAGATCTAGTAAACATTATAGGCCTAATGTAGTGGTTTGTAATTGTACTGGCTGATTGTAAATCATATCTTACACCAACTAATGTACTAGACTTTAGGTCTAATTGCAGTTATAACTTTATTTCTAGACTCTAGATCCATCATCATACAAATTGTAGCCTATATTATAGGCATACTTAGACCTATGCTAACTATTAAACTAGGCATTGCACTGGAACAGATCTAATGACTAAGTTAATAGATCTAGATGTAACATTTGTTCTAAAAGTTAGGCCTGATAAATCTAAATCTAGAATTAATGAGGCAGGGTTATATCTAGATCTGGGTAGATTCAACACAAGGTGCTTTCAATCTATGCACCCAAATCTAAGGTTTAGTTTAGATGTACAAAGCT